ATCAGTGAAAAAAGGCATTATTCTAGGCGGCAATCTGCGATAGGCGCTAAACAGTACATCTTTTTGCATGTAATAGGGTCTATAACCATTTAGAGCGATCTCTCTGGTGGTACCAAAACTTTTATTAAAGGCCGCTAATAATGTATACTCTAAATATACTAAAAGATTTCGTTTTTCCATGTAATTACTCCCTTGATCATTAGAGGCAGCATTCAGAATCACTCCAGGAAGAATACATTCCACTACCTTCTCCCTGGCATATGTCTTCTACTTTTGCCATTGCTCGCTTTTCGAGACGTACTGGACACTCAATGATAGCTTGGCAAACGCAAAAGAACTTTCAAAATTTGAAATCTAGCTTAGATTCTATCATTAGATGTAAAGAGCGAAGTTTTAATGAAGGTAAATAAGCCGGTGGGAGCTGAAATAAACAGTTAAAAACAATGGAACGTTTGGAACCTCCGCCAAATACAAAAAGAACGAACAGTGCATAAAATTATGATAAGCGGAATACCCTAAATTGGACTAGTCCTTGACTTGATGACACAAGACGTGAAATTTATTATATACAAATTCTCCAGCATTTGGCAATGCTTCACGTAGTTGTAAATAAGATGAAGAAACCTACCTCCATGTTCAAAATTAGCATATCTCCAGCATTCAAATTCATATTTAGAACGCTTCGCAGAAAACACATAAAGAATAGCTGGTGAAATGTCTCTGGTTGCAACCAACTCGCTGTAACTGACGGTGATGTATCACTGCACTAACAAGCAATTTAGCTATATGAAGGACGGAAATGTGTGCACCTCAAGCAGGTTCGACGGAAACCATCCCTACACATATGATTAAGGTTATTAATGTGGCGCTGAAAGATATGGCCATGGTTGCTATATTCAAGCAACAAATTTATTCATTCATAAATATTAAATATAAACGATTAAATACAATCGCTTACCCTCACAGATCGAATACTCTGCGGGTTTTCGTCAGTAGTAAAAACGACATGAACGTCTTCCAGCTCCAGTTGGTCATCAGGCCGCGGCCTAGTGACTTCATCAGCCACCTCTTTGGCTGCCTCTTCAATCTAAGTATTTAAAATATTTGAGAAATATACACAAACACGATAATTAAGGATATGATACTGTTAGGGCAGATTCAGGATTCAGAGAACAAGTCATAGGAACCAGCAATTCAAACAAAGACAGCTAAATGAGAATGGATTCAGTTTAAAATTGCTCATGCTCCATGAAAGCGCTTGACTTCATTTATAATGAATTCATCTCTTTGAAGCAAAAACGATATTTGCCAACCAACATGTGCCGTTCTACAAAAAGGTCATGTCATGCTATTGAAGACTGTTACAGAGTACGTTTTAGCTTAAGAGACGAAATGAACTTAGATGGTCGTCGTTACCAGCTGCATTATTGGAATGTCAAAATGTGAAACGAGAAAAAAATAAATAGGAGAGAAGACTGCAGGCCCAAGCAGAAAAGAAAATCTGTTTGAATGGTTCGTGAGACAGCAGAGAGTCAAAAACTCACTTGTATGGTTACAAACGCCACAAATCGGCAAATTTAATTTTTTGATTAAATTATACCATCTTTCCAGCTTAAACAAACAGTGGGATTTAATGCTTACAACTGGCAAAGCTTGACCAGGCTTTTTTCGCAACAGTTCAGTCAGGTCTTCGTCAAAGTTGCGCAAATCTTGCAAATTCACGCTGATCCAGTATTCGCCCAAATTGTATTGACGTCGAAGAGCATCGCTGTGAATAAGTAAGAAATTTCAAAAGAGCAAAGCAGGAGGAAAAAGATGCAAAGTTTTCATACCGATAGACATAAGAAAATCCACCACGATGGAACGAACGAATAAAATCCTTGAAAACCTTCTTGGCTGATCTTAAAGTGGTCTCCATTGCCTTTTGTCCTTCTGTGGCTGGTTCTCCATCGGTGTATCCATCGGCATAGTACAATCCAAGATTATCGAATCCGGCCATTGTATCCCTTCACTTCAGCTCAGGTTAAACTCTAAAATATCGAGTAAAAACCAAGCAGTCACTTTAACTGTTCAATTCGCGATCGAAATTTTCTTTAATAATTGACAGCGCATGGACGAATATTTAAATTTTGCTTGCCGCGAACATAATTACTGAACAACAATAAGGAGGAAACAGGGTAACTATATTAAAAATGAGAGAAGGCAGGCATCCGCGTAACTTTAACGAATATCAATGCACAAAAGAGACACTTTGACTCAGAAATACTGGACTCCAACAGATGAGTGCAAACTATTATATGTCAAAAAGTCTGACAAAGAACTGTGAAGCTATTTAAAGAGGAAAACGCGTTTACATCTAGCCGCAGAATAAAGGAAGATACAAAATACTTGGTACGCCAATATACTTGGGGTACCAAGTACAGAAGATAATAAACCGTTTAATGCCCACGCGTTTCACCGTTTGATGGCAACGTTATCAGGGCTGGACTGAGGACAACTGACTGCTTGAAGGAATTTATGACCAACAAGTTAACAGTGTAAAGTTTTCAACAGGCTCATTACATACATTCAAGGCGTTGTAACCCTGTCTGAGCAAAGTATAATGTTCACATCAAAATACATCGGATCGTTGTGACGGAAGTAAAATTACTGCATTGACGATATTGTGC